GATTATAGGTGTGTGCCACTGTGCCCAGTTTCTTTCATTTCTTAAAACGAAATTTATTTTTATTTCATGTGTCTGAATGTATGCCTGCATGTATGTATGTGTACCTGTGAAGCCCAGAAGAGGGTGTTGGATCTCTTGGAACTGGAGTTATGGATGGTTGTTACCAGCCATATGGGTGATGGGAACTGAACCCAGGTCCTCTGCAAGAGCAGCGAGTGCTCTTAAGCACTAGACCATCTCTCTGGTCCCATCTTTTAATTCTTATACCCTCAGGGGTAGCTGTTATGATGCCCATTTCGCAATGGTGGAAATAGGCCCCAGCGGGTGTAGGAATATGCCTAGCTCACACAGGCAGTGACAGGCAGGCTTCCTCCTCAGGCGTGTCTGCATCCAGACTCCAGACTCTTTACTCCACGCTCAGTGATAACACAGAGTACAACACTCAGGGGCGTTCAATTTCTTTTTCTTCTTTTTGTCTGCATGCTGCGTGAATGTGTGTGCATATGTGTATATGGGTATACTTGCCCATGTGTGGAGGTCAGAGGTTGATATTGAGAGTCTCTGTCACTCTTCCCCTGATTTTTCTTAGAACTTTGCTGTTTTTGCTAGACTGGCTGGCCAGCAAGCCCCTGGATCTACTTGTCTCTGACACCCTTAGTTTTGGGGCTACAGATTCATGCTGATGTGCCTGATGTTTACGTGGGTGCTAGAAGTCCAAATCCAGATCCTCTGCTTATGCAGCAAGTACTTTACCCACTGAGACATCTCCCTAGTCTCATGGGAGCTCAATTTCTTTTTGTGATTCATTCCTTGGAGATTATATGAACACTACATTCTGGTTTAGGGTTCTTATTTCTCCAAATATTTCCTGATCTGCCTGTATGCTCTGGTGGTGGGATGAAGATAGAAGCCAACAGTTCTATGCTGGGGTCACTCATGCCTCCCTAGCAAGTCCCTCGTTTCCTTTCTTTGCTTCTTTCTTTTTACCATTTATTCTCTCTCTCTTTCTTTCTCTCTCTCTCTCTCTCTTTCTCTCTCTCTCTTCTTTCCCTCTTTCTCTCGCTCACTCTGCATGCCACAGCATGCATGTGGAGGTCAGAGGACACCTTTTGGGAATGAGTTCTTACCTTCTCTCCTAGGGATCACTTCTCTACTAGGGATGAAACTCAGGTCATCAGACTTGGTGGCAAGCACCTTTGTCCACTGAGCCATCTTGCTGGCCTTCCTTTTCCTTTTCATTCTGACTTTTCCTCTGTATCTTGGGATTTGAGCATAACAACATTGGTTGATTTTGCTTCTGATTTTATTTTCTGGGTAGGAATATAATCACAACATATTTATATTGTGGAATAAATTTTATGTCTTTTATTTGTTAATGGTCTAACAAATAGGATGTGATTGAGCACACAATTGTGGTCTGCTCAGTTCTGTGATGTGGGCCCTTGAATCTCTTAGCATTTTTTTTTTTTAACCATTAAGCTCACGAGAAGCAGAAAGTTACTGAGATTGAGCTCACAGGTCCCAAGTTCTAGTGTAGTTCCAGGCTCCAAGTGGTTAGACAACAGAACCTTAACTTTGCTTCTATTTCCACAGAATAAAACTGTAGTTATAAGGTTGGGCTTGGTGGCGCACATCTTTAATCCCAGCACTCAGCAGGGGCAGTCAAATCTCTGTGAGATCGAGGCCAGCCTGTTCCATGTAGTGAGTTCCAGGCCAGCTGGGGCTACAGGGAGACCCTGTCTCAAAAGCCAAAAAATAAGCCCCCTCCCCCCAAACAAACAAAAATAGTAGTGGTAAGTCAGGCTGAGCATTCTAATCTGAAAACCAAAAGTTCTGAATGTAAAAAACATTTTGCAGGCTGACATGATACTACCAGTGGAAAATTCCACATCTGAGCCCAAGTGACAAACCACAGTTAAAACACAGGTGCACTATAAATATTGTACAAAATGAATTTTAGGTGTAATATGGTATATAGTAACATATTTTCTGTTCAGCCTGGAATCTCATTCCCAAGATATCTCATTATATATATGCAAACTTTTCTAAATATGAAAAAAAGAAAAATCAAAAGTTGGAAACACTTCTGATCCCAAGCACTGGGCTGAGGGACACACTAACTGGTACCAGTATTTGCAGTCGTGGACTGCTGTGAGTGGCTGTTCATATCCTTGGCCCAGTCCTGGCGTGCATCATGGTGGGGAAGGCATTGTGGCTGGACTAGGCTGATCCCGGTGGTGGGAGGTTACAGCCTGGCTTGTTCACATCTTAACTGATCAGGAAGCAGAGAGTGGGACCAGAAGGAGGGCTGGTTTGTAGTTCTCAAAGCCTGCCTCCAGTGGTCTATGTCCACCAGCTAGGCTTTATGTCCTAAAGGTTTCCCAGTTTCCCAGAACAGCACCACCTGCTGGGGACCAAGTGTTCAAACACGTGAGCCTGTGTGACATTTCAAATTCAAACCATACCATACCATATGTCATTTAGCATCCTTGACAGCATGTTGGGAGAATCCCCACAATTAAAAGATAGGCATTTCTGTAGTTCTGTGTCTTTTGGTGCTGGGGAATGAAGTCAAGGCCTTTCCCATGCTAGGCAAGTACCCTACCACTGAGCTACACCCCAGTCCTTCAGTGCTGTATATGTCTACTGACATTAACAGGTAGATAAAGCTGATTATTTGCTACAAACTTAAATCCATTTAGCTGACATGAATTTTTCTTCTTATATAAAGTTTAAGAGCTTTATGCCCCCATTAGCTTCATAGACAAAGAAACAGACTCATGGAGATTCATTAGCCTAAGTTTTCCCTGCTCCTGAGTGGCAAGGCCAGGGTCCAAGGTGGGTCTAGCCTGAGCCAGGGCCTTCTGGCTATCCAGGCCAGCTGGTGGTCTGCTTCCAGAAGCACCTCATAGGTCACTCCAGCACCTGCACTGTGAGCAGCTTCGGACACTTTCCCTACCTCACAATCCTCTCTGAGTGCTTGCATAGAGGCTGAGGAGCCCAGCCTTGGACAGGGGACTAGGAGAACATGGTTGTATCATAAAACACTGCCAAACCTCAGCTGCAGCAATTGAACCTATTACTGGCCACAGGAGTTGGACAGGGTTCAACTTAGTGTGGGCGTTAAGGTAGGGAGTGTTGGAGCTGCCCTTTCCATCTGTAGACAGGGTCATCTCATGGCCTTTCCCTCAGGCATGACAAGAGTCCCTAGGTCAGTGCTGTGCTGGCTTCTGCCCTTTAGGTGGCAACTCCTCTCCTAGACTTGGCTTATGGGGGGAAAAGCCTCATGGGGATAGGCCCCCAGAAGTGTGTGGTCAGTGCCCCTGTCTGGCCTGCTCTCCAGGGCTCTGGGGCTGGAGAACAGCCAGCCAGCTCCAAGCTATGCAGAAAACTCCGCAAGGGATCCAAGCTGCATAGTGGGGTAGCCTGCCTTTAGCTTTGTGGCTTTGTATGTCCTATGCATGGCAAGGGACAGTGGGAAACATACAAAGCTGGTTTTCTCCTTTCAGACAGTTACGAGCCCCAGTGTGTGTGTGTGTGTGTGTGTGTGTGTGTGTGTGTGTGTGTGTTCGTGTCTGTGTGTCTGTGTGTGTATGGACATGTGATATGGACATGTGATGAGTGATATTTGTGTGACTGTGTGGTAGGTGTGGGACATGTGTGATGTGTGCATGAGGTATGGATGTGTGGGCTGTGTGGTACAAGTGTGTGATGTATGTATAATGGGCATGTCAGATGAGTGTATAGTGTTGTGATGCCTGTGTGATATGTGTGTGATTTGTGCACATGATGCATGTGTAAGATGTGTAGTGTGTGATATGCATATAGTGTATGATGCATTGTAGGGTGCAAGTGAGTGTGGCATGTATATGAAATGTGTGGTGTGTGATGTGCGCATGCGTGTCACGTGTATGGTAAATGTATCTATACATTATTGTGTAGGATGAGTACACCCAGCACCAGTTGTGGGTATGGAGGGTAGCAGGGGTAGGTGTTGAGTTGGATGGAGTTAAGGAGCAGATAGGCCATCAGATGGAAGCCCTCACAGTCTGGAGCCTTGCCTCCCTTCCTCACAGTGTCCTCTATATTCATGAAGAAGACCCATTTCTCTCTTGGCTTGATACACTGTGAAGTAGGGCCTGGCTCTGTGTGGAAGTCCAGTGAACTAAGGCCTCAGAAAACACAGACTGGGAATGCCCTGGTCAGAAGCATATGGATTCTTCTCTTGCCTAGGACAGTGATGGCCAATTACAACTGGGCCCATGTGCTGTGGGGCCAGTACAGCATGTGGCTGTTTTCCTCAGACACACAGCCACCACCAGTTTTTCTGGCTGCCCCAGATGAGGTGTCACACAGGCCAGAAGTCAGGAAGGAGCAGCCAAGGATACCCTGGCTTTCCAAAGCCTGTAGGACACATGGATCAATATGAGCAGCTATCCTCAACCAGAAGAGAACAGAGAACTTCACTGCGGCTCAGGTGATGTCACCATTTGGCTAGTACATGGGGTGCTAGTGTTTGTCATTTGTGGAAACTCATAAGGCTTCTGTACCTGAACCCTGTGAACACAGAGCTATGGAAGACTGTGGAAGACTTCTAGGAGAACAGAAAACTGTTTAAAACAAGAACAGTAATAGGGCTGTGGAGATGGCTCAAGAGTAAAGTGTTTGTCAAGCAAGCATGAGGCCTTGAATTCCATCCCCAGAACCCACATAAGAAAAAAGGGTGTGGTTTCACATGCTTGGGAGACAGGTGGAATCCCTGGGACTCTGTGGCCAGCCAGTCTAGCTTATTTGGTGAGTCAAGGCCAATGAGATACTGTCTCATAAAACACGGTGGATGGTTGACCTCTAGCCTCCACATACATATGCATATGCACCTTCACACACCCATGCATCTGTGCACTCATTAACACACACACACATGAGAGAGAGAGAGAGAGAGAGAGAGAGAGAGAGAGAGAGAGAGAGAGAGAGAGAGAGAGAAAACACAACAAAACAGCACCGGCTAAAATTTATTGAGCACTGGCTATGCACCAGGCCTGGCACTAAGCGTTTTTATCACCAAAAGGTGGGTCCTATTCTTTAACTTCATCACATAAGTGGGAAATGAAACTCAGAGGTGTTATGTGACTTGCTTGTAGTACTGGCTTGTAAGTGGCTGAGTAACGGGTAGAGCTGGGTCAGGAGATCCACCTGACTGCGATGTGTGGATTATTAGTGATGCTGAGACTTGTCTGCTGGGTGTGCTCATCGAACAGCTGTTGCTTGATCTCTTCATACTTGTATTTCACCCAGACTGGGGTTTCTGGGGGATCCCCAAAGCCTGAAGCTGTATGTACTAGGGGACGACTCTGGGGCTTCTGGGGGTAAGGGCACCATGGAGTGCTGCTCGCCACATAGGGAGCTGAGGGCTTCCAGGAAGAGCTTTCTGAAGGAGGAGGACACAACGTTGTAAAGAACAGGTGTCACTGCCGAACTGACGTAGAAGAGGGTGTTGGTCACCATGTAGAAGTAGTGATAGAAATCGTAGAGTGTGCTGGAAGTGAAACCCAGAGGTCTGGTTAGAGGCCTGCTGTCATCTACAGTGCCTGCCCTTTCCTGCTGTACAGTCCCTGTCCCCTCCACTGCACCAGTTAGGAAGAAAGGTCTCTTTCTGTTGCCAGGAAACACACAATGGAAATACTGCAAGTTACTGTTGCCTCCTACCCCACTGCCCACCGCTGATGACTCAGTCCCTCTAGCCTCTGTCATTTCCTAGGCTGTGGTTGCTGATCTGATCATTAGGTAATAGATGCTACCCCTTATGCCAGAGGTCATCCACCTAGGCCACTGATGCTGTGAATCCCGTGCTTCTTGGTATAGTTAAGAATGCGGCTTCACTAAGAAATGAAGGTCTTTCTGAGACGCCATGCTTCTTGTGGTAGAGATTCTCTGCAGCAACAAGGGCTTGCCATGTGCATATGTAGACACATGTATGTGAGGATACTGGTTGCTCCTGGGAAGGAGACTTATGCTGACACTGCTGGTCCTTCTGGGATCTCTACTCTGTTGGGCGTGTTTAGCTTCCATTTCTGATACCAGGCATAGTGATTTCCAAAAGGGTCTCATGAAGCCCAGGCTAGCCTTCAATTTTCTATATAGCCAAGAATAACCTTGAACTTCTGATCCTTTTGCCAGCATCTCACAAAAACTAGGATTATAGTTATATACCACCATGCCCAGTTTATATGGTGATGGGGATTGAACCCAGGGCTTTGTACATGCTAGATAAGCACTCTACCAACTGAACTATACCCTTGACCCATGAATTTTTTCTTCTCCAACTGTGTAATAAAAAGGGGGTATATATCCTGATCTCCATGTGGCCTTTGTTAGCTCATGGAACCCACTGTGGTCTTTCTCCCTCTCCTTTTAATAACATGGGCTTCACCCACCTCTCTGGCCTGAAGGTTTGTTTATTCTGGTGTGAGGATGCGCACAACCCTACTGCCTACAAAGTCTGTCATATACATGGCCTTACCAAATCAGGGAAGTTTCTAGAGTCCTGTTCCCACCAGACATGGTGGCACATGCCTGTAATCCCAGCCCTTGGAAGGCTGAGGCAGGAGGACTGCCATGCAGTCAAGGCTAGCCTGTCTACATATGGAGTACTACACTAGTTGGGACAGCATAGAAAGACCCTATTTCAAAATAATCACTCAAACAAAACAAAACAAAAAAAAAAACACACTATCTTGTTCCCTAACTCCAGCTGGAAGATTTTGAGAATACAGCCTGGTCAGGACCAACTGGGCTCTATGCAGGCCAGACCTCTAGGGAGCCTGGCAGCTGAGGCCCTATTGGGAGTAATAGAGACCCCAGACCAGCCCAATGGGCTCTCTTAGTGGCCAGGGCTCCTCATCACTTACTCAGTCCATCCATCATCAGGGATGTAGCAGTACATGAGCCTGCGGGCATGGTACGGCAGCCAGCAGATGACATACACCGCCACAATGGCTCCTGAAGGACAATGCGCGCGAGAGAGGACACGGCAGACAGAAAGCAAACATGTTCTCAGTTATTTCATCACCAAGGGAGGAAGGTGCCTGAGGTGACAACAGCAATTTCAGTGACCTCTTTCTGGAGCCAAAGGGTGGGAAAATAACTTGAAGATTACTTGTTATGAACCTGCCTTACACTCTGGATGAATATTCATTTTGACTATGATCTTGATATAACATGCTTCCAAATATACTCCCACCTCAAGACTTAACTAAGTGCATGTACAGCACAATATAAATACCTTTCCTGCCCTTTGAAGCCTCTGCCTGCACTCTTCCTTTTTCTGCTGAATGGGTGGTGGTACCACCATCAAGCCACAAGCCAGAGTCTTCTTAGTTTTCTCTCCTTCCTACTAAGGAGTTCCTCCTCAGCAGCTCTCCTCTCTATTTCTTCAACTCCACTGCTGCTAGCTGATGAGGCTGGTTGGACTCTGACAACCATCTATTAACTTTCTACCCCTTTCCTCCCCTGCCCATGACCAGACAACCTACACTCTAGGCCAGTGTGGACCCTGGGGCAGTAGGGGTTGCCTGATAGAAATGCAGTCTTAGGCCCATTCAAGACCTCATGGATCAGAATCTCTGAGCTGGGCTCTGCACTCTAGGTTTTAAAACTCCTTGGATCATTGTTATATAATATGAAATTGGGGAGCACGAGGTGGCCATATGCTAAAGAGCTACGAAGGCAGTAGATCTTCTGGACTTTGCCCCTTTCAAAGTCTGTCCATTATTTATAAAGTGAAACTGATACCTTCATGTGCTAACTTCACGCCACTTGTCGCATCACATTGCATTTAGCTCTTACATTTGTGTCCAGACACAAGACCGTGGTGTTGTAGAGAGCACAGACCTGTCTCATTTGATCCTCTCAGACTTCAGCTAGTGCTCAGATTTCAGCGAGGGCTTAATGGGCATTTGGAAAGAACTGTTTTCCTGTGCCTTTTAAAAACTTCCCTTTTAAGGTCAAATTGTTCCAGATCCTTACAAAGGCAAGCAAGTAAACAGAGCAGTATTGTAAGAGGGAGAGGAGAGTGCTGGAGGGAAATAGGATTTGTGGACCCAGCCAGTCTGAGAGTGAACAAATGCCAGGCTGTGGTCCTTCACTAGAGCTGCTCCTGTCTCCCACACAGCCCAACTTCCTGAAGCAGAGGCAGGTTTCTGCCTTTTCTGACTATGCTGCTCCCTGGACAGATCCTGGCTTTTATGCATGGAATTCCTATTCTTTAACTATCCCACTGTGCCTTTAAGAAGAGTGTGGTTGAGTGTAAATCTCCCTTGGAACTTGGGAAAAAGGAGGCCTAAAGGGGCAGTTGCTTTCTAAGGTCACCTGGCCAGGACTGGTGGAGGCAGCCCTGGCACCTGGATCCTCTCCCTCAGGGCATTGTGGTAGAAGACTTAACTGAGAACCTGGGCGCTGTGCTGGAGGCTGCGGATCTGGCTGGCATCCTTGTGTCTCACCAGGCTGGCCTGGACCCCCAGGGAGAGGGTCTTTCTCCACGCGATGAAGCCCAGGAGGCCTTCCTCACTTAGCAGCTCCAGGCGGCTGGGGATAGAGTTGACTTGGGCAGAAGCTGATGGTACCTGAGAGTAGAGGGCCATCAGGTGGCTCACGGTGACCCCGTTCAGGAAAGCAGTTAGTGCTAAGGGGACCACGAAGGACACCAGCACATTCACCTGTGAAGATAATTTAAGAGTCATGGTGGCAGCACCAAAGGCCTGTGGCTCTGATTACCAGGTTTGCCCCACATCCAGAATTTGCATGATCAGAGGTGGGGGTACAAAAGGTCTATGATACAAGGCTGAAGAAAGTGTCAGAATGCAGAGAGAGAGAGAGAGAAAGAGAGGGAAAGAACAGGTAAGTACATTTGGGATTTATTTAGAATGCTCATTCTCATTAAATAATAGGGGCTTCAGAAAGGAAAAATAGAGAAAACAGAGAGAGAGGAAAATTTATATATATATATATATATCCGCAATCAAGAATGTTTTCCCAAAATTGAAGGCTCTGAGCTTCCAAATTGAAAAGTTGAGTGGCCAGAAGAATGGTGGGAATAGGTGGACACCATCTTGTTCCCAGGACTTTAGCATCCAGGGAATAAAAAGCAGATGCTGAAAACTTCCTGAGAGATAAAGTATGGAAAGGACAGAAACTATAATGACATCAACATCTTAAATCAATGGTTGAAACAAAAACAATGAAACATACTTTACAATTGATGGAAAAAAATTGTTTCTGGCTCAGAATTTTATATCCAGTTATAGAACACTAAAATAAGGATAAAAGAAAATGATTTATGACTTTCAAATCCTTAAGCATTTTACCTTCTGTGGATAATTTCTCAGATCACAGGAGGTTACAAGAACACATGTTCCTTCAAATAAAGATAGAAACCAGTACAGAGAAGATCTAGGATCTAAAGAAGGGACATCCATCAGAGGAGTAAGGAGCAATGGCAAGCAGGTGGCCTTCCTGTGTGGGTGGCCTGAATTACAACCAATAGAACTGAACTAGGAGGACGGAGACTAGGCAAATTAACTAAAGACTATGTATTATTAACTTCAAGAATAACCAAAGTTGGGCTGGTGAGATGGCTCAGTAGGTAAAGGTGCTTGCTGCCAAGCCTAATGGCCCAAGTTTGATTCCTGGGCCCATGTGGTAGAAGAGAACTGACTCCTAAAAGTTGTCCTTTGACTTCCATTGTTGTACTGTGGCTTGCATGAATATATATATATATATATGTTCATATCATATATATCTACATGATATAGACAAAAACCCAGCATAGAATTAGGGACATAGAATTAGGGACCCAGCAGGCCCCTACTATAGCCAAGGAACTACTAGCAGCGGATTACTGTTGGGTGAGGGGGCGTTGAACCTTTTTTTTGGTCTAATAATCAAAGGTTTTTTTTTTGTCTTTAGCTGTCCTGGAACTCACTATGTAAACCAGAATGGCCTCGAACTCACAAAGATCCGCCTGCCTCTGCCTCCCAAGTGCTGGGATTAAAGGCCTGCACCACCACTCCCAGCTCAAAGTTGTTTTTAAAAGGTAATACAATAAAATATACAAATATACAACCTGGATCACCAATAAAGAATATTTACATAACCACAATAATATAAATACTGAACACTAGTGGGAGGACAGAAGGGGCGACATGCGTGGAGATATGGAGGATAAGGACAAGAATGAAAGAGTGTAGTGCTCATTTTTTATGGATAGAAGACAAGAGGGACAATTTAAACTGGGGAATCCAGGAACAAGTTTTTTATAAATATGTAAACAGAAGGCAGAGTGAGTCAAGGATGGAACATACCTGCCTCTGCTGGACAACCTGAGAGCGAATGTGGAGGGATTGTTGCTACACGTGACGACCTTTGACTTGTTATCTTGTGCACGAGGATGTGTGCGTGTGTATGAAGCCCTAGGTTCAGTGCCCAGCACCACATGAGCCAGGTGTGGTGGCACATGACTGTGATTCTATCATTCAGGAGCTGGAGACAGGAAATCAGAATTTTAAAATCATCTTCAGGTAAGCAGGGAGTTTGAGGTTAGCCTGGGTAATGTAAGACCCAGTTTCAAACAAACATGAGAAAACTAAGATTTTCTTACTCTTTTCTCTTTACAAACTGCTTTTCAAAAACTGAATCATATTTGGGACTGGAGAAATTAGTCAGTGGTTAAGAGCACATATTACTTTTACAAGAGGACCAGAGTTCCTTTCCCAGTACCCACATCAGTCGGTGACCATAACTCCAGCTCCAGGGTATCAAATGCCTTCTTCTGGACTCCTCTGGCACCTTCCTGTACTCATGTGCACAAATCTACACACAGACACATACACCAATGAAAAAAATAACAAAAATAAATCTCTTAAAATCAAAAGTTTAAGAAACCACTAAGTTCCAGGGAGCTATGGAGCATCTCTCAAAATGTCCTGTAACTGTGGTGTCCTAGTTTGTCTCTTCATTGTTGTGACAAAACATTCTGACCACTACCATACTGGGGAGGAAAGGGTTTATTTGTCTTACATCTCCTAAGTCACAGTTCATCAGGGAGCCCAAGGTAGGAACTCGGGGCAGGAACCTGGAGGCAGGAGTTGGAGCACAGGCCATGGAGGAACCCTGCTTACTGGCTTGCTCCCCTGGCTCCTGCCCAGTCTGCTTTCTTATGCAACATAGGCCCACCTGCCTGGGGGTGGCAACACCCACAGTGGGCTGGGCCCTTCCACATCACTCAACAAGCAAGAACGTGCCCCATGGACATGGACACAGGCCAGTCCAATGAAGGAAATTCCCCCATTGAGGCTCCCTCAACCCAGGTGTGTCAAGTTGACACTAAAGCTACCCAGCACATGTGGTGAGTCACCTGTCCTCTTGTTCAGGGAGGCCATGGAGACCCCACTAGATGGACTTGAACCAGTGCCTAGTCTACAAAGAGGAGGGTCCATACAGAGGAAACATTTCTTCTATGCTTCCAAGTGAAGCCAGCCATGGTCGAGCAGGACCTTTGACTTATCTTCACATAGATGGGATGGAACTGGTAAAAGAAAGGAGTCAGGGCCTCCTCCCAAGCCCATGTGATCCCTGAGGAACAGATCCTCAAATGACCTTAAGAGTGAAAACAAATCAGTTTATCTGGTCCAATGGTATGCCAAAGATTAAAGTGATCAGTATATTTCTTTAAGAGTTCAAGGGATCACACCTCCCAGACATTAGGCCTAAGACCATATAAAAAGTTATTTAGACAATTATTTCTCATTGATGATTTTGTTCCTAACCAGAAAGTGCTGTTGAGACATAAGACTTCAAATTTTGGTCTCCAATATTGTTGTGCCCACCTGTAGCTAAGGGAGACAACCAGCTATTGCTCTAAAATGATGGATAAATTTGTTTTCTCCTCCTATCTAGAAGCCTTTGAGAAGGAACTGACACTGATTCTAACCACTCCAACAACTATCAAAGTGCCCCCAAACAAATCCTGAGTCCATCACTCTCAAGTCCAGCCTTGGAAGACAAAAGAAAAATAAGGAGGAACCCAGTAGAGGGGTGCTTTTGGAAGCTCTCGTCAAGAACATCTGATGGACTCTGATATGAACATTTGAAATTTGCCATGTTCTGACTTTTTTCTGGTTCCCTGTCTAGAACTTGTAATGCTAACCACTCTTGCCTTTACTTGTCTTCACATCTCATAGGTACCAGTCAAGGACTTTCTTTTCTCCCTACAGATAAGAGTTATGCAATTTGGGAGTCTTTTAGATAGACCCACTGAAGGGGTATCCCAATTGCCATCACCCTGTGTCCCTGTTCAGCATGGAAGAAGCCAGAGTGGTCTGCATCCCGATTTCCCATTGGCAATTTGGGTAACCTCTTCAGAGGATGGTGTGATAAGAATAGGGGGTAGGAATTGGCTAGGCAGTTAGGGTAAAAGACCCCAAAGAAAAGTATCCAGTTTCTTGGCTAAAAGTCAAAATTTCCTTGGGCAACATACTCTGTTCCAAAGGCCAAAAATTTCAAAAGTATTTGGGAGTGCCTATCTAATCCCTAAAAGATTTTAGGGTTACCTCTTCAGAGGGGGGAATTTTAAAGAAGAAAAAAACCCCTTTAAAAAAAAAAAAACCCTAATAAAAAAAAAAAAAAAAAAAAAAAAAAAAGAGTACATGAAGTTGTCAGGAAAAAGTGGTGGGGCAATGTGGGAGGAATTGGAGGGGAGTGGGCGTGGATTTGATCAAAACACATTATATGATGTATGAAATTCACAATAATTTTTTTAAAGTTAAAAGAAAGAAACCCTCGACCGTATTTTAACAACAATTCAAAATCAATATTAAGTGTCTAAATGGATCTGGTGTGGTAGCACGCACTTGTAATCCTAGCACCTGGGAGGTTGGGGCAGGATGATTAGTAGTCAGCCTTGGCTACATAGTGAGTTTTGAGGAGAATCTGGGCTACGTGAGACTTTGTCTCAAAACAAACAAAACAAAAATAAAAAAGCAGGAAGGAAGGAAGGAAGGAAGGAAGGAAGGAAGGAAGGAAGGAAGGAAGGAAGGAAGGAAAGGAAGGAAGGAAAAAACTCAAGTGGCACCATATCTTTTTAAGGAGTTATCACTGTGATTTTTCATCTTAGTCCTGACTTACAAACTAGTGACACTCAGGGAAAAGAAACTACTGCATGCCAATCATTTTAGTTTGCTGAGGAACCAAACTGGTCTATATCAAGGAAGCTGTCATTGGGGTTTTGGCTCTTTTCTTTGTTTCCTTTACAATCAGGGTCAGATTTGGTAAAGGAATCTGACAGCCTGGCAAAGTGATAAGGAAGTGGATTTTCTGAAAATGGAAATTCCCGCCTAGCCAGTTCTGAGAGTCTCCTTATAGGAACCATAGCAAGGACTTTCAGAAGCAGGCAGAGTGCTTCCGTGGGTTTGGGTTTAATCATATGCCTTTCCATGTGTTTGGATTTAATTGTATGTCTTGCTATGTTCCTGTCCAGGCTATAGCTGGCATCTTAATTTTTTTCTGAACTCTCCGTTATTGTTGAATGCTCAGGCCTCTTTATTATATCTGTGCAAAATCTCAGTATAATAGATGCTCTGTCCACCTTTGCATGTGACTACATATTGCTGATTTTAATAATAATAAATATTAGTTCTGATATTGGCAGTTCTGCAAATACCTATCCTATAGCTCTTATTTCAGTGACTTTGGAATGTCTTGCTTCAATAAGTAGTTCTGGGACTTACCACCAGAATGTCTTAACTACTGGGTCCAAACTGCCAAAGATTTCAAAGGCAAAGGGAAAAAATATTAAAGATTTTATCTGAAAATTGAGTTCTTCTTTGCTCAAGACCTTCATAATTAAAATGTCAGCAGATTCCATATCTCTGACTGCACCCAGTTATTATGTAGCGAGTATACAAATGAATTCATATATCAAGGTAACTGAGCTGGCTTCTCATCTATGTTAGAAACTCTGAGACACTAGCATGCAAGACCAAGGTCATGGAGAGACCACATGACCCTATGGATAGGAGACAGAAACATGTTCCAAAGACAAGTCATGGGATGTCCAACCTCCTCAGCTCACTTTCCTCTAGAGATAGAGCCCTGGGTGTCTCAGTCTGCTCTGCGATGAAAGTCTCTCTCAAATGAGGTCCTCAAATGGCTCTCACCAGCTGAACACCTTCTTTTTAAAATCATAGTCCAGGGCCTGGAGAGATGGTTCAGTGGTTAAGAACATTTGCTGCTCTTGCAGAGGACTGGAGTTCAGTTCCCAGCAGCATGTGTTGGGTGGCTCACAACAGCCTGCAACTACAACTCTAGGGGCTCTGACACCCTCTTATGGCCTTTGTAAGCACCTACACTTATTAAGTGAGCCTACTCATACACAGACTCATACAGATACACATAATTAAAATAAATCTTTAAAAAACATAGCCCACCAGGCGTGGTGGTGCATGCCTTTAATCCCAGCACTCGGGAGGCAGAGGCAGGTGGATTTCGGTGAGTTCAAGGCCAGACTGGTCTACATAATGAGTTCCAGGACAGCTGGGGCTACAGGGAGACCCTGTCTCAAAAAAACCAAAAAAAAAAAAAACAAAAAACAAAAAAAAACCCAAAAAACAAACAAACAAAAGGGAAAAAACCCCCAAACAGCCCATTATCACAGCCTTCAAGGTTGGAGAACATGTCAGGAGGGAGCAGGAAGGCAGCGTCAATTCTGGGGATGCCACCCAGTTTGCCCAGGAACAGCAGCAACAACACCCAGATCCACGTGGTAAAAGAGAGCCAGTGCCAGAACTGGGATATCAAGGGGCCCAAAGTGAGGAGGATCCTTGTGATGGCTAATCCTGGGTGTCAACTTGACTGGATCTGGGATTAACTGCAGTGAGAGAGATCTTAATTGGATCAACTGAAGCTGGAAGACACACCCTAAATGTGGGTGTTACCTTCTGATGACAGCCCATATAAAAGGCCATGGCAGAAGAGAGCTTTTTTTTTTGGCTTTTTGCTGCTTGCCTTCTCTCTCGCTGGTGAGCTCGTCTTGCTGCTGTAGACTGAAGACTAACCAATCTTTTGGAATTTGTCAGACCTTCAGCGCCAGATTGGAACTACTGAGATATCCAGCCTCATGGACTGAGCGACTATGGAGTCTCAGCCTCTTCAGTGTGGTGCCGCCATTGTTGGACTACTCGGACTCTATCTTGTGAGCTAAGCTGTTAAATCCTTATACATATACATTCATTCTACTGGTTCTGTTTCTTTGGAGAACCCTGATTAATACAATCCTCCTGGAGATTTCCTGGGTAAACACAGCAGAGGGGCTGCTTGTGAGTGTTCTCTCCCACTGGTCCTCCCAGCAGTTGCCCTAGAGACCACACAAGTGGCTCCTGCAGGTTGTTCATGTCAGTAACAGATCTCCCTTCAGTCCCACCTTACCCATACGCTTAAAGAGCAATTGTTTGAAAAAGAAATTTAAAGGTACATAAAACTTTGATTACATAGCAAGAATGTTTTAAAAAGTAAATGTAGGGAAGACAACAAAACTGAGGTTTTCAGGGCATACTAGGGGATGGAGAGAGTGCGTATGTGTGTGTGGAGACCTCCATGAAGACTTGCAGGGAGGAGGGAGAGAATGGACCAAAGGGTAAGGAAGGAGAAAGGGCTGTATGGGACAGTGTCCTTAGGTGGCCCAGATCAGTTGCTCCTGTGGGAAGGAAAACTAGAGAGAAACATTCCACAGAGTAGGTGGGAGAAGAGAAGAAGGGGAAATGGGCTGAGGAGTTGCTGTGTTGTCTCCTGGCACTTTCAGAGGATCTCTTTTAATTATCCATGTGATACTGGTGCCCTGTTCTTGCATTCGAACACCAGCCACAGACACACAAACACCTCTTTCTAAGTCAGGGATCCAGAAGGGGCTGGCAGCATCAGATGGATAGCCTTCTGGGAGCAAGTGAGCTCTGGATTCTGACCGGGGTCCCATGTCTGCCCCATCATCCTTGCTTTAAGTCCTTCTATAGGTTGAAGCATCTACCACTCACAATAGAGTACTGACTAGAATCTTCCAGCTTTTCCCTTCCACAATGACTGACCTCTAGTTTTAGAAATGAGTGTCAAGTTTTAAATGCCAAATTCCTTTTAAAGCAATTCCATTACAAAGAATCAAATAAATAAATCATTGTTAGGCATTTAGTCTCCTTGTCCCTAGAGGAGAGTTCCCCATTCAAGAAACACTGGGACTGAACAGGGATGAAGTGGCCCCATAGAACACCATGAAACATGGGCATGATTGCCTGTTTCCATGGTTTCTCCCGATTCTTTCCAAGTGAAAAGCAGGATGGCAAGTGAACACCTCTGGGGAGGCCCAATGTCCTCCGTCTCTGCTCATCAGACCCAGCTGATATGCACAGGGAGGGGACAGAGGAAGATAGGGAAGTTTTTGGAGGGATTCAGTATTATGCTGTGGCAGGAAAGAAAGGTAGGGAGAGAAAGGTGTCAAGATTAACACACAAGAGAAATGAATGACAGAGAAAAAACTGTAAACCCTCACCAAAGGCTACGGTAAGGGGCAGAGAGTGCGCTAGAAAAGCCCATGACATACAAATGAGGGAGAAGGCAGGTCTATGTAAATGACCCATAGAGTGTCACCACTCTTGTATCTGGGTACTATTGAGCTTCTAACTGACCCCTTCCCCTCCACACTCTGTCCACTTCCGATCTTGGAAGTGCTTTTTTCATTTGATAAACTGTTTCCATTTCTACCACCATCCATGCATCTCTAGTGTGATTCTTTTTTTCTGGTACACAAGAACCTGAAAAATCTCACAGGTGTCTTCCAGACTCTAATCCATGCCTATGACAACAGTAGGCCAGCAATCCAGCTGCAGAAGGAGCTTTGTTCAGGGGTATGACGTCCCAGTATCTATGCAGGCACTGTGTCCCATACATGTCCGGATGTGCTGGACAGCAAGCTTTTCTGCACCTCAATGTGCTTACTGGAAGGGCCCTTGTGTAACCTCCATGCACTGGTGGGTAGTCATAGAATCCTGACTCCAGTCTACTTTGGTCCTTTGGATTTCTTGGAAGGTCAGAAAGATCCTGGAGGGCCTGGGGCTACTTTGGCCTCTCTCACTACCCCAGTGTGTGGGACACCCAGGACCACTGCCTGTTTGAGAATGACAGAGCAAGCAGGGGGCTGGGGCTTGCAGAACCTCTGGGGACCTGAGGCAAACACTAGGAAAGGTGAGACTTGCTTTCAGAAAAGACACTGTGAAGTGTTAGGAGTGGATTGCATGTGGTGGGAGGGGGTGATTTCGGAAGAGGAGGGTGCCTCAGGAATAGGGTATTGAGAGAAGACTTAAGTGAGGAAGTGACAATATAGCTCACTTCCAGGGTTAGGAAGGGTTAGAGAGGAGGGAGTAAAGAATGACCTTTTTGACTTAAATGCTAGGCAGAGCTAGGGAAAAGGGAGGTGGGCAAGTTTGGGTGGAGGTAATAGGAAGTGATGTCAGAAGTCCTGTCATGCCTCCAGAATACAGGCCTAGAGCATCTTCTTCTTCCCTGCCCCAACTCCTGGATTCCTGGGAGGTCCACTGCAGAGCTGCCTGGTGAGAGTGACATAGGTGTGGCATCCAATGGGACATGAAATCAGTATTTTCACAGGCTCTCTCTGTGGTTCCTTCAAAAAAGTGTGCATGTGGGAGGGGGTTTTGGGAGTGGGTTCTTTTCTTCCATTGTGAGTTCCAGAGATGGATCTCAGGTCTTCAGGCTTGTGCAGAAATCGCTTTTAGCCCCGCCCCACCCTCCAAGTAATTCTTAGCCTAATCTGGTCTGAGCACCACTTTTAACACCTGGGAAGAACACAGGCATTCATTATTAATTCTGAATGGAGACCTGAACTTTTCTCGGTGCTCCGCCCAGCCTGGCTCTCTCATAGGCGTTTGTAAAATAGGGCAATGAGAGCCAACTTTCTGGTGGTCAGAGGATCAGAACTGAACATGCCTGCTCCCCAGTTCCTGCCCTCCAGCTGCCTCTCCCTTACCTGGATGAACACTTGTAGAGTGGCGCGGCTCACTAGCACTGTGCACACGCGCGAGGCGGGCTCAGGTTCCCCGCTGGTGGTCTCCAGCTCGTGTTTCTGTCCCATGATCACCGCCATAGGTAGGGAGAGGCCAAGAGAGGCGGCCCAGACCAAGGACAGCAGGCGGCGGGTGTGGCGCGGAGTGAGCAGGCGGCGGGCGCGCAGCGGCTGGCACACGGCCAGGCAGCGCTCAGCGCTCAGGCTGGCAACGCTCAGCACTGTGGCGTAGGCGCACAGTTCGCGCACGAAGTAGTAGGCGCGGCAGCCCAGGTCGCCGAAGACCCAGGGGTAGTGGGACCACACGAAGTTGTAGAGCTCCACCGGCACGCTGACCAGCAGCAGCAGCAGCGCCGCGAGCGCCAGGCTGAGTACATGGTAGCGCAGGCGCCCGGTGCGGCCGGCCCGCGCCTTCAGCACCACGTGCACGGACAGCGCATTGCCTGCAGTGCCCAGGGCAAAGATAAGCGAGAAGAGCGCAGTGAACAGCACCTTGGCCCAGAGGCGCGTATCCACGCCCAGCCGCGCGTCCAGGCTTAGCCCTGGGTTGGGGCTGGGCCTCGGCGGCCGCGGGCTGCTTGTCTCCATCACCGTCTCCTGGAGGCCTGTGCTCCCTCCCTTTCACTGCCCAGAGCTTGGGCTAGCTGCCCGGTTAGCCAGCACCTCCTTCCTGGGAACCTCCAGAAGTGGGAGGACACGCCCCTGAAGCAGGGCCAGGATCCCCTGTTGATTCCGTTCAATCCAGAAAAGCACGTGCTAGTGGAAAGAGGGAGTCCTTTGGGGTCAACCTCCCTAAGTTTTCCTGGATAAAACCACTTACCAACTGTGTGACTGCAAACAAGCTTTAAAAACTGGTCTTTTTTTTTTTTTCAACTTCAAAATGCTGTCTACACTGCAGAATTTCTCCTCAGATGGAATGAATGAGTCAGTGTGAAGATTCCCAAACCACAGAGAAGCTAGGCATGGTGTTTGAGCCCTGCTCCTTGGTCACTGTGCTGCTGTTTCTGTGTGCAGTCTGGGGAAAAAGCCATGGGGAAGGTTCTGCCAGGTGCCAGTGCTTTGCCAGCCTTGTTCTGGCTAAAGGGCTGCCTCATGCTGCAGTAACAACCTTAAGGAAGGTCCCTGTGGGTACATCTTCCTGGTGTCATACTACCCCCCCCATCTTTTGAGGGTCTTTCTTTCAGAGCAGAGGGAGTAAATGTGTTAAGCATGTTTAAGAATTTTTCATTGTTCACATTATAAGCGTATGTAAAACACCAGAACTTTAGTCTGGAAGCCTCCAGAGGTCTCTTCTCATCCTGAGGAGGCCTAGTTTCCCATGGGGATAGAATTGGAATGAGACCCAATCCATAGATTGTTATGGCCCAGTGATAACTGGTCTACTCTTCCTCTGGATACATATCTGTATCCATAATGAAAATTTACTTTTATTCTGCTCCTGCACTGGAAGGTTTTGAGTCTGGGTAAGCAACAAGAAACAACTCCATAACTTTATTGAACAATTAAACCAGAAGTTATAGAAATGACCAACAAACATGGCCTTATCTATGGGCATGTGACCTGTGCTGTCCTGTCAGGTGCCAGGCTTAAAAGGACTCTGGATTCAATCCTGCTGTTGTCATCTTGAAATCCTTCATAATTTTGGGGGAAGTCTTTTTTGGGTCTCCCTGTAGGCCCAGCTGGCCTGGAACGCACTATGTAGACTAGGCTGGCCTTGAACTCACAGAGATCCACCTGCCTCTGCTCCCCAAGTGCTAGGATTAAAGGCATGCACCACCATGCCCAGCCATAAGCCTTCATAATTTTTAAATGAGGGACTCTCTCATTTCACTTGGTTCTGGGTCCTACAAATTATGTGACTTGTTCTCTACACTGCAAACAAGAGCATCCCACAAGAAAAGTGAGTTGAACAGAAGTGGTCAGCCTGATGATTGTTGGGTCTAGTACATTTTGCAATTTAATAACCAAAGAAACCAAAGAGAGCTTATTTGTCAGAATTTGTACTTTAAAAAGATTTATGTTATCTTTATTTTTCTATGTGTTTGTCTGCATGTATAGATATGCACACAGAAGCCAGAAGAGGGTACCAAATCCCTTGGAACCACAGCCACAGATGGCCAGAGCCGACATGTGGGTGCCGGGCCCCAAAACCTGGGTCCTCCAAAAAGAGAAACAAAGGTTCCAAATCACTGAGCCATCCTCTCCAGCCCCCATAATATGTATTTTAATGTTTTATGTCCAAATCCTTAGATACTAGTGTACCTCTCACCCACTCATCAAAGAAGCTTTTTTTTTTCAAATGGAGACAATTACAAAGTTCCACAACTGATCAAACACATAGAATATGTGTCTGTGAGGTGCCCAATCCTAAGTGACATATCTACAGTTCAACCTCTACATGCAAGGCTCAGGGAACATAGCAGAACAGGGGGCAGAGAGAATATTAATTCATCTCTCAACCCTCACCAGCAAATCTTCCTCAAAGTGCAGAGACTAAGAGACTGCTGAGTGGTTATCCCTGAATAGGACACCTGTATCAAACTGCCACCCCAGGCTCAGGGACCATTGCAGAAGAGGGGGCTGAAAGATTGTAAGAACCACAAATGGTGGATGACCACAATGAAACAGTTTTCCAGATGGCTGGGAGTTACTCATACGAACTCACAGCAATGGTAACAGTATTAAAGCCCAAGCCAGACAAAATCCCTACATAAAAGTGGGGAAGTAGGGGAAGAAACCCCAACTTTAGTTGAAGAACTATTGGCATCTGATAACTGCTGAGAGAGAGAGAGAGAGTCCATTTTCTCTAAGGGTGTGATGCTATATAGGTTAACCAGGTTCCAGTGGATGGACACACATGGAAGGACATTTGGGGACACAAACTTGACTCAATAGACCTTTACATATATGACAGAATACATGAAATCTGGTGGGGGGGCTAAGAGATAGGGGAGGAGGTATAAGTAGGATCAAAATATAGTGCATGAAATTCTCAAACATTCAATTAAAATTCTTTATTAAAAATAACAGTGAAAGAAAAGAAAAAAGAAAATGCTTTTTCAAAGTTTTTATGTTATAAGAAGGATTTTTGGCCAACTAATCACATGTGATCTGAAGGAAACCATGACCATGAAGCCAAAGGAGGGATGATGTCATTACAGATCAGCGGAAGGGCTGAGATGCCATGCAATTCTTGTTGTTCCTATACCATCAGATACCATAATTTTATGCTGCCTCTTACAGGTTTCAAAAGCTTAATGCTATAGATCTCAGCAACCACCCCCCTCCTTTTTTAATGTGTATGAGTATTATGCCTGCATGTGTGTAAGTACACCTGTGTTGTGCAGTGCCCATGGAGGACAGAAGAGGGCGTTGGATCCCCTGGAACTGGAGTTACAGATGATTGTTAATTACCATATGGGTGCTGGGATTTGAACCTGGATCTTCTGCTCTTAAGTCAGTGCTCTTAACCTGGCCTGAGCCATCTCTCCAGCCCCAGCAGCCCTTTCTTATCCCTGTTATCCCACCATGTCTCAGCTCTGTGTTCCCTCAATGAGGGCTTGGAGGATAGGGGAGGCCTAGGCACACAGAGATGAGAGAGGGGTTCAGTGTACTATGTCCTGGGCTGAGAATTTATTTTGAACTTAATATCAAATAATAGATGACTTTCTTGTTTCTCCCTCTTTTAATATGCACAGTAGAATACATTCTGTGTGCTATTCTGTTCCTGTGCCAGCAGGCCAAAGTCAAGTGTGATATTTACTCTAGTAACCTAAATGTTGGCATGTAAACTTTTTCTTTCCTCACATGCTTTGAGGTCATAAACTCCATATTTATTTTCATTAAAGACATGTAATGATTTCATTATTATGATTTTAGGTGAATTATAAATAAACATTTTACAATTTCTCTTTTGACTTTGGGGTCAGGACCACTTTATAGTCTTTGAAATCATTATATTGCATTGTTAACAATATATTGCTATTATAACAATATATTGCTATATTTTATTTATGTGGACTGTATCTATCAATATTTCTAATACTATATTAGAAATGAAAACTGAGAACTCACATTTTAAAGCTTAAGAACTATGGGATTAAGTTTATCTTTCCTTCAGGTTTAAGGATTCCATGTGTGTGAATTTTAACCCAATTTCCCTTGAAGCAAATAACCAGTACTAATAAATATTAGCACTTTTCTGGACTTCTTGCGGTTCAATCTTGGGCAGGTGTCTGCTTTCCTTGGATTAATCCCCCAAACACTGTGTCTTCCAAGGTTGTCACACTGGCAAGAGAGAGGGTCACTGGGCTCAGAGTTGAAGGACATGGGGACAAATTTAATCTGCATTCAGTAGTGGTACTGTGGGCGAGTTGTGCATCCTCTCAGTCTTCATACATTCACCTGAGCTGGAGGGAGAACCAGCAGTACCATCGGGGTTCTTAGAACTGTTTATGTATTTATTTATTTTTATTTTATGTGTATGGGTGTTTTAAATGCATATATGTAAGTATACCACATGTATGCAATGCCCACAGAGGCCAGAAGATGGTGTTTGCTGGAACTGGAGTTACAGATGATTGTTAGCTGCCACGTAGGTGCTGGGAACTGAACCCTGGTCCTCTGCAAAAGTAGCCAGTGTTCTTTTAAAAATATTTTATGTATTACTTTTTAATTTTATATGTATGAATGTATTGCCTACATTTGTGCAAGTGCACTCATGTCATGCAATGCTCACAGAAGTCAGAAGAGGGCATCAGATTCCCCTGGTACTGGAGTTATAGACTGTTGTTAGCCACCATGTGGGTGCTAGGAATTGAACCTGGGTCCTCTGCAAGAACAGCCATTGTTCTTCTGAGTCATCTCTTCAGCCCTGGTTCTTTAAAAAAAAAAAATTGTTTTCAAATTACATGTATTTGTATGTATCTCTCTGTTTATGCCACATGTGGGTGCTGGGACCTGAACTCAGGTCCTCTGCAAGAGTAATAAATACTCTTAACCATTGAACCATTTCTCCAGACCTTCTTCTGGATTTTTTTTTTATCCCACTGGGTTAGAACATTGAAAGAACATATATAGGGGGGGGAGAGAGAGAGAGAGAGGAAAAGAGAGAGAGAGAGAGAGAGAGAGAGAGAGAGAGAGAGAGAGAGAGAGAGAGAGAAATAGATTTCCCTTGGACAAGCACTTTAAGGGCAAAGGTTGAGAGATTGAGTGAAACTTAGTGGGCTTCAGGCCCTGAGGTGGTAGAGATATCTGGGATCTGCTCACATTATTGTTTGGAGATAATCTGGGATAATCTTCCTATCTTGAAGGCAGATAACTAGCAATCCTTTAGCATTTTTTAAAATTTTTATGTGTATGAATGTTTTGCCTGTATGTATGTAAGTATACCCATATTGTACAATGCTTGTGGAGGCCAGAAGAGGGCATTGAATCCTCTGGAACTAGAATTACAGACAGTTGTTAGCTGCCATGTGGGTGCTGGGAACCAAACCCAGGTCCTCTGCAAGAGCAGCCAGTGTTCTTGACCATTGAGCCATCTCTTCAGCTCCCTTGATTAGGATTAGCAATCTTAATTCTACCTCCAACCAGTTCTGGTTTGCTATGTAGTATAACAACAAACAAACAAACAAAAAAACAAAAAAACATAAGGGTA